GTATGAAAAGTGAATTTACTCTGTAAATCTTCACCCAAATCCTAATAAAAAATAATAATAATAATAATGTCATGTCTACTGCCATAGCCAGAACAAGGTGGCTGCATGATAAATTAAAACAGAGGTATATGAAAATGTACCTGAAATGCACCTGTACAAGCCAACAAACATATCCATTAGGAGGTATCTACCTTAAAGATAACACCCAGGCACAATATTTTATGTTACTAAAGAAACCATCTGCTTCGCTCAATGCTAAGCATGATTTTCATTTTATTTGTACATCAACTGCATCTAAGTTATTCTGGCCCCACTAATATCGCAAAGGTTCTGACTTAACTTATGTAAGCTTGATGGTTCTTCATCACGTAGCCAGGCTATAGTCACATCTACATGTTTCAGGGCCCTGCCATCTAATGAGAACACTCATTTTTCTGGGGGATGAGTAGAGGCTGAGTTCACTAACATTCTTATCAGTTTTCCTCCACCTGAATGAATCATCAAATTAAATGTTTCACCTGATTAGACAAAGTCTGTAGCAGTTCTGTTCACTATCTTTGGAGCTTCATCAGGAAGTTTTTGATGACATTCATGAAGATCATCTTCCTGAGAAGTGAGTGGTGGCCCACGGAAGTATCTTAAAAATTCATTTTCTAACATGTGCATGGAACTAGCAGTGGAAGTGACTCAGACGCACTGCCCTTGTTCAACCCAAACCAGAAAGTGCATGGTTAGTGTCTTCGCAGTCCCCAGCACACACACCTGAAGAGAATTATAAATTGCAACTGCCTCAGGGCCCGGATCAGAGTCTTCATGATTCAGTACAAAGTTAAGAAAAACAGCTAATGCGTAGGGCATCAAAGGCCTGCTGAAGGTAGTATGAGAGCAGAAAAAATCTCAGGGCAAGACTTACCACTCTGGGCTTCTGCTGGTCCAGGGTATGCAGGAAGGCCGAGTTAGGGTCCAGGGAGCGCTCAGGGTCACTGGAGATGTCCTCCTCTGAGTCCTCGTAAGATGAGAAACCCGTAGAAGAGGCAGAGGAAGAGGACAGTTTCCTCAGGGGCAAGTTGCCACGAGGGCTTCCCTGCGTCTCCTCTAAGCCCCCATCTTCCTGGGCACCTAGGTCTGTAATGATGACAGCAGGTATAGCACTGGGGCTGCAGACCTCCCTCTGGGAAGGCTTGTCCTTCTGATCTGCAGCCAGCTGCTCTGGGCTTGGGTGAGCATCTCTGTCCGGCCGCTGGCTCTCCCAAGTGCCCTCCGATTGTATCCCTGTGCCACACGTCCAAGCTACACCTGCTTCTCCCATGGGATCCAGCCAAGCTCGGGAGTTGTCAGGTTGCACACACACCCTGTCCTCAAGGCCTGGCTGTTTCCAATCTTTTGCTGTTTCCCAACAGGACAAAGGCTCCAGCATTCCACCAGAGGGAATCCCTATCTCCATCTCTCGGGTCCCCAGCTGTGCAGACTGGCTGCCTCCAAGCAAGCCAAGCGTCGGAGACCCTTCCTCCCCTTGGTGGGAACTTTGCTGAGGTCCCCGGACCACCAGGACCCCTCTTCGGGCCTCCTCAGATGCCAGGTCTCTGGGCAGTCCAGGCCAGCTCTGGACGTTAGAGGGCTCCAAGCATTGTGCATTCACAGTTGTCTCCTCTGGCCTTTTGCCTGCTTCAGGCACCCAGGAGCCCAGCGTGCCACAGGGCAGATTTCCTTTCCCCACCTTCTCAGGGGGCTCCCCACGGCATAGGCCACCCCTCTCTAAGACTGGGTTTCTCTCACTGCCCAGAAATGGCGGCTGCCTCTCCACCAGGGCCTCCCGGGCGGACACATCTCCAAGCTCAGTGAGGGCAGGATTGTGTGGATGGTGTGGCCCAATGGATGTGACTCCCAGTGTTACTTCTGTGGACATCACAAAGCTCACTCTGTCCAGCCCCAAGGAGGCAGCCTGGCAGCTCAGCCTTACTGCCTGAGGAGAGACCCTCTGACCAATTTCCATAGCTATGGGTGAGGTACAGGGGGGACTGGTAGGGACCCCTTTCTCCATCCTCACAGAAGCATCTAGACTCTGAACCCCTGGTCCCTTAGTGACAGCCAGAGCAGAGAGAGGTGCCACTCCCTCTTTGTCTTTCCTTGGACACAAGCTGAGCACACCTTCTCTTCTCTGAGAGTTGGTCTCTGAAGTCTCTGGGTACTGCTCCCCCCAGGACTTTGTCCTCCGTTCCTCACTCCGGGTGCACTGAGCCAGGACCCTTCCAGGAGGCTGGCTGCTGCTACGGAAAGGACAAGGGGAGGGCGAGCGAGCCCTGCCCAAACGCGGGCTGCGGGGCCCTTGAATCGCAGAGCTCTGTGCCTGGATGTGCGCCTCGAACATGCCCACTTTCTGGTTCACCTGCACATTCTGCAACTCGCGCTGAAGGATCCGCAGCTTCCTCTTGGCCTCCTCAGGCCCTGGAGGGGAAAGGGTACTGGTGGCTACCACCTGCTGCCCGTCCCCTCTCAGGCGACTGGCCCAACTCGGGCTGCTCACACTGCCGCTGCTGCCGCTACTACTGCTCAGCCTGCACCGGCTGCTCCGCCAGCCCCCGGGGCTCCCGGGCTCCTCGGGCGACAGCGACTCGGCTGAAGGAAAGACGAAAGAAGTGCCTCTCCCGGGGCTGAAAACGCTGCTGGGGCTCAGCACGGCCCTCCCTCGCGACCCGGCCGTCTCACTGCCGCTGGGACCAGGGCCACCGCCACTCTTCACCTCGTTGGCGCTATTCATGATCACCAGGCTATTGAGTGCATAGCAGTACACAGCCATAGTATTAAGTCCCCCGCGCTGCCTGCCGCCGCGGCTCCTGTTCCGGCTCCGCTGCCGATGCCTCCTCTTCCTGCGGCTCCAGGGTCAGCCCTTGAGGCCCGGTGGCCGCGGCTCTGCGCGAGGATGGGGCGGCATGGCCTGGGCGGCGGGCGGGGGACAGGATTGCAGGCTCAGCCCCCGCCCAAAGCTCCATAAACAGCCACGCCGCTCCGCTCTGCTGTGGAGACACAAGAAAAAGGTCAGGATCCTAGAGAGGCGAGGGAACCCTGGGAATCCCAGGACCAGGTGCACTGGGACATTCACCTATAGGGATTGTGCGGCTTGCTAGGCGAGGGCACATGCCGCGAGTGCCTCAGTCCTGGGGGCGGGGGGGCTCCCTCTCCCACACCAGGTTGTGATAAGCACTGAGGTTCCTGCACATTATAAATTCTTAGACTTGCCTCGGGACCCACCAAGACCAGTGGGGGGATGCCTTCTTGCTTCCTAAGGGTGCTCTATGCGGGGCGCGGCTGACTTGGATCTCTCCAAGAGTAAGGACACACCATCCAGAGTCTCCGTCCGAGTCCCCCTCAGACTAAGCAAACACTGGTTATCTATGGTAACGGGGCGGGGGGCTGCTGTCAGTCAACCCCAACCTCTACTTAAGCATCTCCCCATCCACCCTCTCTGGTTATCAGGAACTGACTCGGAAGCAACCTGAACGGGAACTGCCAATCTTGGAGATGCTGCTTGCACCCGGGTCTGACTGGGGAGGCAGGGGGTGCCTGCGTGCCAGCGGTTTACGTTCCTGCGGGTGGGTTGGGGATGTGTCCCTAAGCCAGAAAGAATGCCGGGGCGGCAGGCTAGGCATTTGAAAGCAACTGGCCTAATCGTCTGCCCCTAAACAAATGTTTTGTTCAGTGTGGGGGCGTGCCTGCGCGCGCCTGGGACCCAAACCCGGCACCTCTTCTGCTGCGAAACCAATAATCGCTGCCCCCTACCCAAGTCCACCGGTGGAGGGGTACACGCGCCTGCGCGCGCGCGCACACAAATCAGCTCTCTCCGAGCCTTGTGCCTGACTGAGTATGCGGCTGCCTGTGCAAGTTCAGGGGCCCGCGCTCACTCAGAGAAACTATGGGGAGTGCACAGCTGCACTCCTGCCGCGGCCGGAGGTGAACTGAGCCCTGGACTCCACAACTTTACCGGGAGCCACGATCTATGACACGAGGGGAAGCGCGGCCGAGTCCACGGCTTCTCTGCACCCCAAGCAGCCTTGCCGGGTGTTCAAGAAGCCGCCCGGGGGAAGCCTGCAGCGTGCAGGGGAGGCGGCGCAGGGCCAGGGGCCCGGAAGGCGAGCTCGAGAAACGCCGAAAATTCGTTTCTCCCTCCTCTTCCCCCTCCCTTCCCCACGCCACCCTCCAAAATAACCACCCCCCTCCTCGTCCCCTCAACTCACTCCTCTCGGCTTTTTCAGAACCCGGAAAGACCAGCCTCGCTCCTGAGCAGTGAAGGAAGGAGGATTCAGAGGCGAGAGCCATTAAAAGCCTTCAAACTTACCTGCAATTTCTGAGATACCCACGTCCTGTGCAGACTGCCTTGCTCAGGGACGCAAGACCTTGTTGGCACGAGTGACTTTAAAAGTAAATATGTTTCAAAAATGCTTTCCTTACCAAGCTGTGAAAGACAAAAAGAAAGGGGAGTGCAAAACAGGAAAAAACGCTTCTCCCCACAGGGGCCGGGCGGTGGCGACGCCTGGCCAGCCCTGCACGCCCTTCTCCGCGGTGGAGACGCTACCCCTGTCAGTGTCTACTCCAGGCTACTTCAGTGTTTGCTCAATGTGCGATTAAAAAAAAAAAAAAAGTGTGTGTGTGTTGGGGGTGGGGGGAGCCTGGGGTGGAGGAGAGAGAAGAGAGAAAGGCGGGGGGTTGGGGGAGGAAAGCAGGAAGGAAGTTGTGAGCTTGTCTGGGGTTAAACTCAGCGGAACAAGTTTTTCTTTTCTTTTTTTTCTATTGCTTGGCAGGACTGAAGGAGGGAAACACTTAAAAAAAAAGTTTCCATTGTTAGCTAACAACAACAAAAAAGCCTTTTAACTTCTGCGGGTTAAAGATACACGATCCATTTTCCACCCCTCCATCAAATCTTGCTTATGTCTAGCTTTATGAAACTAATTTTGAAAAATGTTTCTAATGAAGTTTTGAATTTACGTTTTAAAGCAAACCATGGAGACTTTTCTTCGCATTCAAATTGGGCTAAAATCTTGTAAAAACGGTTTGTGTTCTTACACTCAAATATGCAAATATAAAGAAGGTACATCGTGGGCACCTGGTTACAAAGTTGCAAATTTTAAATGCATCATAGTAGTGTTTTTGGAAGACTGGTTAGGCTGTGAGCTGTGGGTGGTTTTGCAGTGCAATTGCTAGATGTAAAAACACGTTGCACATTTACTTGTAACCAAATGCACACACCAAATGGGACATTCGCCTATTTTTGCACTTAATTATCAAAATTATTTTAAGAAAAAGCATAGTACTGGAACTAAGAAAGCCTGAGCAATGTCTGAAACCTGCACACTCAGTCTCCTATAGGCTGAATCATTTTGAAGAGCCTTCCTCCCCCACCATCAGCAAAAAAAAGTGTGTGGGGGGGGGGAAGGAGCATCAACCAATACTACTGGGCAGTAGATCCTACTCAGTTTAAGCTCAGGAGCTACAAGTGTCTTTTTGCATAATTCCCTACATCTTAAACTACAGCTGCAAGGCTCAAGAGGTTTTGAAATCCAAAACCTAAAATGGTCCTTAAAATTCAGATGAAAATTTTGACTTTGCTTGTGGCAAACCAAGTCTTGCTTTTTTATGTACCAATTCTGTTTAATTGAGTAAACCACCTGCTGCTCAATCGGGAAAAGACCATTTAAAGGAGCTCTGGTGGCACAGTGCCTAAGGCATTTATTTGACTGCTAACCAGAAGACTGGCGGTTCAAACCCACCAGTCACTCCTCAGAAGGAAGACTGGGCAATCTACTTCCGTAGAGATACCGCCTCAGAAACCCAAGGAGTCACTATGAGTCAAATCCACTCCATGGCAGTGAGTTTGGTTTTTTGGTTTTTTTTTAAAGATCTTGTGTTAGGCTGGGTTCTCTAGAGAAGCAAAACCAGTAAAACTTATGTATACATATAGAGAAAGAAATCTATCTTAGGAAAATGGCTCACGCACTTATAGAAGCTGGCAAGTACTAAGTTCTGCATCAAATGTCAAGCTGGAGGCTTTTCCTAACTCACACAGCTACAGGGGCTGATGAGCTCAAGGTTGCCAGGTAGTATACCGGCTGTTGACTCCAACGAATGACGAATCCAAGATCTCCAGGCCAAATGGTGGATTGTTCACTCACAGACAGTTGTAGGCAGCACAACAGGATCCTGATCCACAGAAGAGTGTCTCTTTTCCAAGGATGTCCATAAATATATTGGAAGGAGGCCACACCCCTAGGGAAACTCCTTTTCAGCGGATTGGCTGCTCAAAACATATACATCTGATCCCATCATGGCAACAACCCACATCACAACTGCTTAAACTACACAGAATTGTGGTCCAGCCAAGTTGACACACAGCTCCAACTATCACAGTCCACCCCTTGTGAACTTGGCAGTTGTACACATCTTCTTAACCATATATAATCTCTAAATAAAGACAATTACAAAGTCATATTTGCACCTAACATGATACACTAACATACGTACAACCGAAACACATTAACCTTGTTTACATGTCACAGTTCCTAACAAGGAAACAAAATATTTCATGCACATATGCAAAGAAAAATATAAAAATCACAGTCCTCATTTCTGCAACTGGTCACATGGTCGTAGCTGATATTCAGAACTACCTTCTTCCACCACCCATTCCATATTTTCCTTGCCCTCAGCAAGCATCTCAGCTGGTTGTGGTTCTTTGCCTGGTGGGGTGACCCAAACCTTCATTCCTGAAGGGTCTGAAGCATTAGCAGTCATATCAGAATTGGGTTGCTGTTACTTTCCACTGGCTGTAATCACAGGGCATGGTAGTACTAAGAGACATTCTAAACAATCTCCTGTATTCCAGACATGTTCTTCTTTACCTCCATTGTGTAATGTCAATCCAATTTCCCCTTGGTAATCAGGATCTATCACACCAGATAGTACAGTAACACCCTTCTTTGTCTGTTGATCCAGAGGCATGAGGAAGCCAGAATGGCAGGCTGGCACTCTTAACTTCCAGTTCAATGCAATCAGTATTGTGTCTCCAGGTGGAAGTATTCCTCCCTTTGGGACTAAGATCTCCAGACCTACAGAGCATAGGGTAGCAGGGACAGGAAGCAAAAATATTTTCAGTGGGTCACTAGGGGTAATGGTGAGTGGTACCACTCCCATTTCACCCCTTGGTTCCTTGAACGATGAATCCTGGCTATTGGAGAAACAGTACCATATATTGGACACTGGTTTAGAGCATATACAGCCTCCTGGAGAACATTGCCCCAACCCTTCAAGGTATTGCCACCTAGCTGGTGCCGTAATTGTGTTTTTAGTAGGCCATTCCATCATTCTATCAAGCCAGCTTCTTCTGGATAATGGGGAATGTAGTAAGACCAGTGAATTCCATGAGCATAGGCCCATTGACACACTTCATTTGCTGTGAAGTGAGTCCCATGATCTGAAGCAATGCTGTGTGGAATACCATGATAGTGGATAAGGCATTCTATACACACGTATATGTATAGATGGATGGTAGTTTTGGCAGAAGCATTGCATGCAAGGAAGGCAAATCCATATTCAGAATAAGTATCTATTCCAGTAAGAACAAAACACTGTCTTTTCCATGATGGAAGTGGTTCAATGTAATCAACCTGCCACCAGGTTGCTTGCTGATCACCCCAAGGAATGGTTCCATATTGCAGACTCAGTGTTGATCTCTGCTGCTGGCAGATTGGGCAATCAGCAGTGGCAGTAGGCAAATCAGCCTTGGTGAGTGGAAGTCCATGTTGTTGA